AAGTAAAAAAATAGTAGCACTGTTTAAGTACTCCCTGCTTTTCTGAGTGAGGAATAAGTAGTACCTGAATGACACAGGCATGTCTGAGGGTGGTGGTGAAGATGTACAATAAGTGGTTTTGCTCACACAGTTGGAAGATGTCTTCATTGAAAACAGGTTTCTGCTCTGTAAGAGGCGCAGTAGAAACTGAAATCAAACTTTTCTGCCCATTTTCAAGACAGACACTTGAAATAAAGTTTCTTTAAAGGAGGTATGAATACTGGTAAATAATAGTCGCATGTAGAAACTACTTACCATGTCTATCTGTCTTCCCGTTCATCTTAAACATGTAGAATAGATAATTCAAACAAAGTTGTGACTGTCCTGTATTTACTATAAATATCTTGGTTTTAAATTAGGAAATTCAAGCTGTGTATTTCTCGTGCACTGGTTAAGAATTAAAGCAAGAAATCATGCTGATAAATGAAGTGAATGGGAATGGTACACAGACTTTCTTTATGATTTAGTACATTGTCCTAATATGTTAGATGTATAATGCTATAGAAATTTTAGCTTTTTACTGCCATAAAGCCATGACTTTCTTAAGTGATGTATCTTCAATAATTCTACAGTATTTTGATTCATGAAAGTTGAGTAGATTGGAAGGGGCTTAAAAAATGCATTTTAGTAGGCCTTTTGACAGATGTGATTTAAAAGCTTAGAGAAAGCAATGCACGTGTCACTTTTAATTGCAGAAAGCTTTCCATCTATTAACTTTATTTTGCAAGAGCCTCCTAATGAAAAAGTTCCAATATCTAATTTAATTTAATTTTCTTTGGGTTTGCCAGAAGACCAATTAATTTTTAAAACTTCCAACTATTAAGATGTGCTTCAGAAAGCAGTCTCTCTGTCTTATACACCATTAAGTTTCATCATATGCTTGTCATATCTTGGGAACATCTTGATACCCTTGAAAAAATGTGGCAGTGAAATGTAGACATATTGTCTGTAGCACTAGGTAGGGTTTACAAATACAAATGTTCGTATGATTGGGTTATTCCTATCCATCATTAGATTGCATCTCTCTGGAGCTGTAAGTACATCTGTGCCTGGCAGGCTTGTGTTATCACCAGTGCATATGGGGACCATGTGTCAGTCTTCCAACAGAGATATATAGTCTTGTGTAGAAGCAGGATTGGATCTTCTTGTATTGCAGCCTCTAAATCAATTTCTGGGACCTTTGCTACAGATGTTGGAAGCTGCAGGTCTCTAAAACAGTATGCTGTAACATGAACTGCAACAGAAGAATAAGCACGAGAGGGAATTAGCCATATGGCAGCAGATAGTAAGTGCAGTGGAGCCTGTGTAGAAGCAAATCCTCACACCTTCTCAGCTATCTGTGTAAATATCATTTAAGTTCAGTCACCTCAGAGCTCTAGTCCCATTCTCAGAGGAGATCTATTCTTACTCAGCTAAAAGAGTAAGTACATATACATGCGCTTTGCATTGTGAGACAAATGTCCTAGGATTTCTTAGCTGGGGAAACTCTTTCCAGATTCCATAGAAGTACGAATAGATTTACACAGATTGCTTTAGTGGAATGCCTGACTGTATAGTGCTGAGATGTAGTTGTTCCCTTTAATGACTGTTACTGGTATGAGTGCAGTGTCATGCATTTTTATATTTAGGCCTATATCTTAAATTTCAATATGGTGGGTTTTTTAATTTATGCTTTAAAAAAAAATGCAGTCATTTTAAGTCTTTACCCATTTCATAGTATACTTCAGAATTAGTCCTCAAACAATACCTAAGCTTATCCATTGTTTGTTGGATGGTTATGTACATTGAATAGCCATTTCTTTCCATTACTGTAACAATTCCCAATCTCTTTATGGTTACCTCGACCTCTCTGTCCTGAAGTCATCTGTTTGCTTATCATAAAAGTGTATAATGGCTTGTGAATGGAGACATCAGTGTCACCTGTATTCATCTTAGGTACACTGTGGTTTGATTCAGTTGCAATTACTTTACCGACACCAATCTTCTCTAACTGCCTTTGGACTCCCAAACAGCAAAACAATAGCAAAACACCCTCATCTCTTAAATTTAAAAAAAGGCCCTCATGCAACAAAAAGATCCCACCGTACCATACATGCAGTCACTTCTTATTGTAATTATTAGGGCTTCTCAGTAGGATTTTCTGGATATTTAATTGAGCAGAAGCTCCATCAGTTACTTAGAAGAGTCTGGAAAATGGTTGAAGGGAAAGAATTTTGCATGGAAGCAATTTGAAAAAAAAGACTTGAAAACCTACAGATAGAGGAAAAAAATCTGAAGGAAGGAGGGGAGATGAGTTTTTAAAGTGAAGTTATGAACAGCCACTCTTTGATGGTGTCAGTGGAAAAGTACGGTCCTGGAGCAGAAAATCTGAGCCTTGTGGACTTTAGGCTTAAAAAGTGTCTGAATGAAAATTACTTCAAGCAGCTGAGTTTTTCTGTAACTTTGAGGGGGAAAAAAAGAGAGAAATGCGACAGAAGTAGAAATGCAATTTAAGCTTTTCTTTAAATGATATTAAGATCAGCTTTGTATGGATTATTTTATAGGTAAGTTTGCCTATAACGCTTAGATGTGATTTATGTACTGATGTGGCAACAGCGTACAGCCAGGGCTGTTACATACAATGTAATACATGGAGATTTTGCCCATTCTTATACTTGGCAGCGCTCTGATCCAGGTTTTTGTCCCAATTTGTTCTTTTTAGATTGCTGCTAATGAAGAAATCGGTTGTGATCAGTTCATTTTGGAATTACCTGTTTCCTTTTCATTGCTTATGTACGTTTTTACCATTTTTACAAGGGTTTTCAATTCTAAATGGCCCCTATGTTCAGCTGGATCACACTGTTCCTGTTTTATAGACCAACTGTAGCGCCTGTGCCCTATTCTCAACTCCTTTTACAACAGGAAGCCATGTCTTGAAATTGTGCTTCTTTTCATGATATTGAGAGGAAAGAGATTGTGGTGAAAGGAGTTTGGGGGAAGCGGCTTGAAAAACCGCAGAAAGAGGAGTCAGGCTGAAGAAGAAAGGGAAGCGTGGAGCCCTCGAACAGAAACTAGAATACTGGGAGACTTGAGACTTCTGAGATGCTCAGCTCTAGAGTGTTAAATTCATTTAATCCTGATCGATTAAAAGTTTTAGCTCCAGAATACTTTAATATTCATATCAATAATTGCCTTGAAGTTTCCCATCAATTTCTTTTCCTTTTCTCCTAAGAACTTTTAATTTACTCCTATTAACGAGCACTTGCATAACACCCAAGAAAGAGTAAATAGAAAATCCAGTCACAAAAACCTATCCATTTACTCAAACTAAATTGAGTTTGTTCTTACTATTTTATATTTCATTATCAGAGAAGTGGAAGATGACATGAATGCACGTGTTTGTTTCATCCTTTCCGTTCTTAGTTTCCTCATACACCAGCTTAATGTCCTTGTTCTTCGGGCCAGAAATCCAAGGATGGTAGGAACTGCACAAACATAGAGTAAAAAGTAATAAAATCAACACAGCTAAAACCAGACACAGTGTTTATCTGAAAAACATTACAGTATAAGAAATGACAGATGGTTGTAAACAGATGGGTGAAGCCCAGGAAAACAGTGATATAATATTGGTCATCTTGATAAGCAGTAATTGGGATGGTAACGTAGCTGTTGTCAGTTTTTTCAATTCTCCATGGTAATCCTTTTATAATTCACTTTGTTTTCTTTTGCTGCTCTTAGAGCAGCTTTTGGCACTAACAGGCAACAGCCTCAAAGCCTGAAGCATCAGTGTTTCACATATATTATGCGACTACACACATACTGTATAAAGCTAAGACTGTACAATAAAACTGTCCTGTTAAGCAATCAGCTGGTCTCAAGAGATAATCCCCAAATTGCATCATTCAACTCAAGTGAAGGAAGAGTGAGCACAACCTTGACAAACTGTTCAAGGTTAGTTTTCCTGTTAGGAAGCACTTGGAGTACTCAGCTTATTATTAGACTAACAGTTAGGGCCTATACTTGATGAAAAATGTCTGTCCAGGGATGTAATTATTACTTGCGTGTATTTGAATGGCAGCTATGCATAATGGGGTGGATCAGGAATCTGCTCTGCTCCGTTTTGAACAGAGAGAAAGTGCTATGGTTCACTGAGTGATGTTTCAGAAGAGACTTATAGAGGGTTACAGACTGTGGAGTGAAACCAGACAACATACCAGGCAACCTTTCAGTCCATTCCTCAAGGTGCTTATGGTTTCAATTCCAAAGCAGGTGAAACAGTATTAAATATTAAAGACATGTTGACAGCTGCAAACTCCTGCTAAAAAAAGCAATTCTGTTACAGGGAAAAGTAGTGATAGATTGTTCAGATACTGTTGAAGTGGTCTTTTGGTAAATTAGGTATGCCATCTCATCTATTCTTAATGTGAGTGGATCCCCAAACCAAGCCAAATGGATGTTTCAGCCATGCATGTGCTGAGTGTGTCACGTACCAGAAGAAGTGAAAGTTACCTGGCAGCAACTTGCTTTATCCTTTTTAAGTCCTTAACTTGTAGTGCATTTTCAAGTCTATCAGGTGTAATAGTTGATTAAAAATTAATCACCAAATCACCTGTCAGAGGCTAGTGGAATTAAAATAGCAGAGCCTTTACTCTTTCCTTCCAAAGAAATGGTCTTTTGTGGCCTTGTATGAAATAATAACACAGGAAAGTTAAAGTTGTTTCCTATTTTGCCTTCAGTTCCAACCTGGTTATAATAAAAAAGAGGGAAAATTGCATGAACAAAACCTGTATATGCTAAGCAAGCTATCGACTGGACTAAATTACCATTTTTGAAACATTAAATGCAAAATATGCATTCATGTGGCTAAAAGTCATCTCTCACTCTGCAAACTCCAAGCAGGGTTGTAGGTCACCAACGCCCTCACACCTCCCAGCTGTGCTGCTGGCTCGGGCGCTGTTGAGGGAGCAGTGCTGCCAGGAGAAATGCGTGACGAGCAGCAGTCAGGGCGAGTCGCTCAGTACCTTCCTTCACCTTCACCCATTTGCGACTCTGTGGGCGAGGAAGAATTGGCAACTTTTCCTTTGAGAGGGATCGGGTGAGACTGTTCTTAAGAGCTTCAAGTTTTTCTTTCAAGGACCTTTCTCCATCAAAAGGGTTACATTGGAGCCAAATTTGAAGTATTATTGCAATTCTCTGTCTTTGAAATTGTGGGTGGCCCTTTCCTCATCAGGAGCCACAATGTGTAATTATTTCCTTTTTTTTGAGTCCTAAACAAAAGACAACTACATATTTATTTAGTGGAAAAGACTAACAAAGATATCTTTACTTTTCAAATAGCATTTCTAAGACTCCAGTAAAATACATGTGTGGTCCTAATACTCCTATTTTATTTGACAATTAGCATTTGCCATACTAGGACACTCCAGCACAATAAAGAATAAATGGTGGATCTCCTTAAGGAATTATTTTCAAATGGTACCAGAGTGCACAAATGGATTTTTGTGTGCTTTTGGAGACACTGTATAGTAGAATTGATTTTACAGCCCAAGTCTGAAATTGGAGGTTTTGGCTTATTCCAAACCCAACATGTGATCCTACTGAAAAGTAATAAGGCCAAGTACTGCCCTCCATTTTCATTCTGCAGAAGTTGCAAATTCCTAATACTCAAATTTATACACAAGTCAATATTGAATTCCATTGGATAGGTATGAGGAGTAAGACTGTTTCTCAAACAAAAAACAAGTTTAGCACTAATTATCCTAAGTGTTAACGTTAAAGGTACTGAACTCTGGAGATGAGCAGGCTACCAGTACTCCTGTGGTGCAGTGTGTTAGTTTAGCTGGACAGGGTGCTGGACCACCTTGTCTAGACTGCGCTTTTGCCAAAAAAGTTTGGAGCAGATAATCCTTGAAGTCCCTTCCAACCTGGTATTCTATGTTTCTACGATAGTCAGTTTCTGTATACATTCTGTACCTCTGGTGATCTCCACCTCTGATAAAGTAGATAAAAACATCTGATACTTAAATAATACAAATAATAATGTACCACAAGCTATAATAAGTGCATGTTTATTCAATTATAGATTTATAAATGGGTTATATTTTTTAAAAAATGAGACAATAAGAATGAAAGAAACTTCAGTGATAACGTTAAAAGTTGTATTATTAAAACATCAGAGATGAAAGTGAGCAGGGAAATTCAGTTTGAATATTCTTAGAAAAGTGGAAGATTCATTCATGCCGTGACTCACGTAATTCTGTCTGTATTGCAGTGGCAATTGCCCCATGTTGTGAAATATGAAATATTCACTTGGGCAATGTAGCACACCACGGCACGGGGAGTGATTGTGCTATAGCGTGAGAATAGATTATGTGTCTGCTAACTACAGCATCTGAGTCTCTAGGGAGACAACAGAGCAAATGGAAGTTAGTGATGCAGAGAGAACTTGCAATTCTCTGATCTAAATTTTTCTCATCTGCTTTGTGCTCCTCAGCATGGTACTGATACGTACTACCTCCCATATATGGTAACCCGGTTTCTCCATCGGTAAAAGGAGGTTAATAGTACCTTTCTCAGATGTGAAATTTCATACCTCTTGTGGGGAGCAGGTTGGAATGGTGATACAGCCAGTCATAATGATTTATGGAATTAACATCAGAAATTATAATTCACATTTTTGATCTTCACAAGGATATAAACATGTGCCTAGAGACAAAGCAGCTACTCTTGTATCTTCATTATGAGGAGGAATAGTTGCATTATTTCACTGAAGAACAGAAAAAAAATCATTGACATTAGTATAAGGCTAAGTCCTTTATTTCATAGTCAAAGAATAATGGTACAGCAGAGTTCATGGGTTTTATTTTGTTGGGGTTTTTTTACAGAACAAATTTAGACTGAATTGGTAACTATGTATGTTTTTTAAACATTTCCTTATTCCATCTGCTTTAATTGATCCATAGAACTTCCACAAAGTTATGCCTTGCTAAAAGGACATGAGAAGCCATTTCGGTATATGATTATCTTCATAGATAAGTGATGCAGTACTGTAACTTGTTATATGGTAAGTCTATAAAGCCAAACGTGTCAGTATTATAACAATTAATTGGATAAGCCTCATTTGACTGATGGGAAAGGTACTTACTTTTTGATTTATATTAATATATTTGCTGAACATGGGATAAAAACCTATCGTGTTAATAAAACATTCGTGTTTGTTTAGCAAGCTCATGCTACAGTATGCTATATTTCTACCATGATGGAATTCCATATACACTTCAATCGGTTCAGTTCACCTGAGATATTAATTTTAGAGGAGCAATCCAGGAAACCCTCCCCGCGTTTACACCATGATGTAACAGCTCGGTAGCATCTGTATTCTTGAAGACGTTGTACTTTGGTTTGATGTAGTCTCTGTAGCATTCAGAAATGGTCTTAGATTAAACTCCTGGTCATACTGGAACTTTGCAATTTAAAAGTATGGTTGTGTGATGATAAATGAAGGTTCATGAGCAGCTAAGAAAAATCTTATCAAAAGTTTTCCCCCTGATACCACAAACCCCCTAATACAGAGTAGAAATAGATACTTTTTAATTCAAATTTAGAAAGTTGAAGATGGGCATTTTATACGTGAAATCCAAATCTGAGATCCAGCAACACAGACAAAAATCTACTTTGCCATTTCATTCTGTCCTCTTTGCGCTGGAAAGCCAACTGCTGCAGCAGCTTTTGCAAATAGAGGCAGCTGGTGGCATTAATGGTAACAAGAAATAATCTTCTTCCATCCTTCTCTTGAGATGTACCAAGACAGTTGAAACATGGGACTGTGGCTCTTAGGCTGTCACGTCTCAGCATGTTCTCGCCTTCTGGGAGCTCAGGTTTAACTGCTGGTGTCTTCACCACCTCCCAGTGTACTTCGTTCTCCATAACATCAGAGCCAGGGGAATAAATAGTAGCTCTTGCAAATCTGAGTCTTGCTCTGGAATAGGTTCAAGGTTTTATATGACATGCCTTGTAAGGTGGCTGTTCCTGGAGAAGTGTCTCAGGCCAAGCAAGACCTCCCAGGCATCTTAATGAAGTCCAGAATCCAGTGAGTAGCCTGTGCTGGAACGTGTTTCACAGGATCTCTCTGCAAGGAGCTCCTCAAGGAGCAAGAAGTGTCTGTCTTTTCCCTGCTACTTAAATTTCTGTGCCTTTTAAGGTGTAGTCAGATATGAATATGTTGTAGGAATGCTGAACAGTACTGAGGAAAAAGCAAACCATAGTGAAAACAGCTGAAAAGGAAAGGATCATTTGATATTTATAAATTAATTGTTTAGTTTTATTACTTTGGGAAAAATATCTAATGGATATTTATGTTCATAAAAAGAAGCTGTTACTTGTTCTAGCAAAATCATCGGGTAGGACTAGATGATCATTGTAGGTCACCTCCAACTGAACTATCCTACTCTAAAATATTATATATTGATTGTTACCACGTTTGTATTTGAAGTGAAAATCTCCGTGTCCAAATTAATGTATTTGATTTTCAATTAAGTAATGTAAAGAAGTTCTCATTCTGTTTATTTCTTTGAATACCTTATAGTCTCATTATCTATGATAGTTTGCCACCTTATATGGGCATAGGAAATTTCATACAGAAGATACTTGGCTAATGCTAAAACTTTTTTCCTGTAAGAGAGAAGTCCTAAGCAAGGCTTCCTTTGTTTGTATCAGCTATATTTAACTAATTATTAAGGATGCTGATCATGGAATAGCCATTTCTAAGCTGTTTTTATGAACTGGCATAAATAAACAGATAAGTATTCAATACTGAGTCTGATTTGGTATTTCTGCCTTTTGCTTTAAAAATCAGGACACATTGCTCATTCCCAGTATTTTGCAAAGTAGATTTATGATATCGCTGGTCGGACACAGAGGGAGGTTAAACCGTAGAGGAAAATAAAATTACAGGTAATTAAATTTACAAGCAAGTTTGCCATCTTCAAAAGATTTATTATTTCAGAATGAACAATGGTTTAGCAACACAAGAAAACTGTGATACAGCTTTAACAGCATGTGATATAGATATTATATGTGATGTTTCAATTTATATAATTAAAAATTTAGTACTCCTTTTAAGGTTAAATGGAATATTCAACTGGGAACCATACATGGTGAGTAATAAAATAGCTGCAATGCAGTCCTGTCTGTATTTTATAAGAGCACTCTATCAGGCTCATTAATATCAGATTATCTGAGGGCTTTATCCTCATATAAAAAAGCAACAGCATGTATAAGCTTTTTGATGTTTTTGGTGGGAATAGGTTATTATATTCTCTTGGAATGAATTTTAAATGTTAACAGGATTCCAGATTGGGAGGTTTTTCCCTAATATATGTCTGTCTACTAACTAGTAAATGTAATAGAAACCATTTCCATCCTGTTCTTAGAAAAGGATAGGTAGCAAGGTTTTGGCAAGTATTTTTTGTTATTTCCACAAAGCATAACGCATTATGATTACTAATTTATTCTGAAGAAAAAAATAATTAACTTCATAAAATGAAGCTGATTTTTTGGGGGAGGGAGGGATATGAGGTGTGAAAATTTTTTTGTTATTACTTTTTTTCCCTATTTCATCAATCTGTGAAATACAGAAATATATGTTTTCAGGCATAATTTCAAATTAGACAAGTTCCACCGTAGTGACATTGGAAAATACTGGAATTAAATCCTTAACCTTTGGAAATTGGTTAAAAAGGTGAGGTATATGCTATTATCAGTGTACATTGTATGTAAATTGCCTTGACCTCGTTTATTTAAAAAGAAATTTTATTTTATGCAAGCACAATAATTCCAGGATTCTGATCATGGACCTTAGAGAGGCTGCAGTATTTCTCTGGTTTTATTTATGAGTTTGAGTACTTGGATAGACAACGTTAATTTTTATTTTAGAGAAGGAGATTCAGGTGCAATGTATTTAGCCTCTGATTTAAAACACACACCTGACCTCCTGTGGGTGAAAAATGAAAGTATGCAAGTTTCTCCAAGAATCACTATAGTTGGGCTAAAATTTAGAAATCTTTGTTCATTTTCCGTTGTGTATCCTGATTTAGAGTGGGATTCAACTTTGTTAGGTATATGGATTTGTTTTTTCTTGTTTTGCTTTTGAAAAAAAAAACAAAACAGTGGGGTTGTAGTCAGGATATTAAAGCTCAGAAGAACATTTGACATACATGCAGCTTAACCATGTCTGAAACAAATCACTACGAACAGGACAGCGCAGCCGCATCCCGAGCAGCAGTGGTGCTCATCTCTGCCTTCTGTGGAAACAGCCTCTTTCAGCTGCTGCCAGCCTGACTCACCCAGATGGCTTTTTGTGTGCAAGTCTGTACACAATATTTAACCCCAATATTACTGTGCTGCCTTTTGGCTTGGGGACGTCTCACGCCAAAAGAGACTGAAGTTACACCTGGCACTTCTGGTTTGGTAACGTGTGAGCGGGGAGGTGCGCGGGAGGGCGGGTGGTTGCAGGGGCTCTGCCAGTGAAGGGAATGAATGAAGCCCACAAATTTACACTAAGGGGTGGTCTTGAAGGGTCATGTCTAAGGGACTCCGCTTCAAATTTAATAATTTGGAATATGTCTCTCTAAGAAAGATATAGCAGTCAAGAGCATTTTAGTTTAAAGCAGCCTGTAGGACAATGCATAAACATGAATCCATCAAAACATCTTACTTGCTGCCAGTGAAGGGAATGAATGAAGCCCACAAATTTACACTAAGGGGTGGTCTTGAAGGGTCATGTCTAAGGTACTCCGCTTCAAATTTAATAATTTGGAATATGTCTCTCTAAGAAAGATATAGCAGTCAAGAGCATTTTAGTTTAAAGCAGCCTGTAGGACAATGCATAAACATGAATCCATCAAAACATCTTACTTGACTGTTGTGCTTTATTTAAATAAAAATCTGCAGGGTAACCTTGGGTTTTTCACTCCATCTGTATACAATACATTTTTTTAATCAGTTCTGCTGTTCCAGAGGTACACCGAATTTTGATCTAAGGTCTTGGGCTGTAATAATAATGGAGAATAATTTGTTCCGATGAAAGTATCTCGGTCAGATTGCTGGTTTCAAATGCAAAGACAGGTTCATGCCTTTTTCTTTCAAAAATAGAGATTTTTTTCTTGTAAAAGTAGGATATTCTGTTGCTTAGTGGCTTAGATTTTATCAAAATACTTGAACATCTTTCATTGTGGGGGCACCAAGTGCCATCATAAATTATACTCAGTATTCAAATACTACCTCTTTTTGAAATGGGAGGTGAAGTTCACACAGTTATTAGTGCAGAATAGTGACAATCAGGCTGAAAAGGAGGTTTGCACCTTTCTTCACTACATAATACAAGCCACAAAGTCAAATCAATGTAACATAATGGCCTGCAAAATTGTCTGGTTTTATCTGCAAAATAGATTTTTGCCCCATTTCCCCAGAAAATCACGGTGTACCCTGTGCTGCTTTTGACCTTTTTTTTTGCGAGCAGTCTAAGAATTACAGTGAAATGAGTTAAAATATCATAAAAAAAGACCACCCAGCAACTTTGTACTGAGTCCTACGTCTGCAGTGTGAAATGTAGATGTAATTTATGCAAGAAGAAAAAGCTAAATGTTTGTTTAAGCCCCTCAAGGTTTTTATAAGGAAATCTTTTTAGACTGAGCAGATGAAAACTTGAAGCAATCAATAAATAATTACTGAAAACTTTCCTGCTATAAGTAGACATAAATTCTATGTTGGAAATCGCATTTTTTTAACGAGAGGTAGAAATTTACAGCAAAGAACTTAATTAACAACTTATATTTTTGTTACATTGAGAGTTCCAAGAAAGTTTCACAAACCAGCAGATGCATTGCAAAAAGATTTGTTTTGGAGAACGACCATTTGCCAACCTTACTTAGCTCTCCACATTTAGAGGAATGCTTTAAGCATTGCCTTGCACCTTTGCCATCAAGTAGTTTACATCTCACACGTGCTACGATTACCAGAGATCACTGTACTTCAATCTACATGAGCCTGTGCTACATGGAAACGGTGCTGGCTGTGTGGAGCCAGCGGTAAATCTAGCATGTGATTAGTTTGCTCTCCTTTGCACGTACAAAGAGACAGACGTGCATTTGTACGCACAATCCCAGCACATTGTTTATCAAGGAACTTGGCTCAGTAGCCGTTGCTTGTAAATCCTTGCATTTGTGCTAAAATTTGGTTTTAGTCAAGGAGAAAAGATTTTGACCATTGATATTTTTTATTAGATTTCTAAAACTAATTTACGCATTGTTTCAGTCTTGTTTGTCCTTCACTGTTTTTAATTACCTAACATGGTGAATGATGATACTCTGTTAACTGTCATAAAAAGCATAATGCACCATTGCCTGTTACTTCCCGCAGTATGTATTTATAAGTGTGTGAGTGGTTTGCATAGATATATACTGATATCTGTGTTATAATCATTTATCATCATACAAATCCCTACTGCTAACTTAACCACTTGACACACAATTTTTATATAGATAAAATGTATTAGTCAATTCAACAGAAGTGTAAATATAGATATTCAGAGGTGTAAATATAGATATTTGCTGTTTATACTTATAATGGATTTTTTTTAAAAGGAAGTAGACTGTTAAATCATGTTACCATAGCAAATGCTGAAAGCCGCTTTTTCATTCATTGCTGTTGAATTTATTGTCAGAGCAGTGCAGTCATATCCCATTTCAAGATTACTTAGGTGGCTTGAAAATTAAATCACAGCTCACAGAATCTCTATTTTCACACACGGTTAATAATAGTAAAATTGGGTCTAGTTTTAAATATACTTTGCAAGATATTGCAGTGCAGTTAGATGCACGAACTGTGAAAGATTTAGTGAATAGGCTGTGATTTTCCATACATTAACAAAGAACTGGACAAAACAGTTGCTGTTGATGTATGTAAAATCATTTTCAAAAGAGTAATAATGATTCAAATTTTGTTAAAGTCAGGCAGTGTGGGGTCTTACAAAGTCCTCTATTTTTTTTCAAGTTCATATGTCTGAAGAAGATCTTCAGGAGTGATTACTGGAAATATGAGCTCATGGTAGATTACTTTTTAGCGAAAGAATATGTCAAAAGCATGAGTGTTTATGTCTAATCAACTAAATGATTCTTGCTTATTCACTTCATATGAGCTAAATCTCTTATTTCTATGCACCATTTTGCAGTGTTTCTCCTAAAAGCTGTCTCTGAAAGGTCACCTAAAGATGTCTCTAAAGAAGGAAGACATTGCGAAAATTTACTTCTGTTAGGGGTTGGATTGCATTTGATGTGCTTTTGGAGCACAGCTCCTGACTTGGTTTAAACAAAGTAGAATCCAGTTAGCCACACCAAAACTCCTCTGCAGATAGGCTTAAAATCCCAATATAGAGACAGCCTGTTTACATTTGTTTCTAAATTTCATTTAGATGCTCAGGCAAGGCTCTTAATGTAATTTGTTGTGATCCCTATATTGTCTATAGATAGATGTGTCTCTGAAGGTCTCCAAAAGAAGATCTGATTTCATAATTTTAAGACACCAAAGCAGATAGGTCCCTTTGAAGGCCTTCAGATATTTGTGTGGTATGAATGTGTCAGGTGTGTTTGGTCCAGGGTGGCAAACTATTGTCTGAAGTGACACCTCCAAACCGCACATGGTGTAGGTACAGCAGTAATGACCTTAATATATTGATCATCTCTGTTGTTCTGCAGTACTCGTTAATGGCGTATGGCATAAAGGAAAAGCCCTGGATTCTAGTTAGGTTTTATATTTATTGGTTTTTTTCCTGTCTCCTCTGCTACTATCTTTACTTCAGTTCACTAAATTTTATTTCCAGTATGGAGCCATGAAGTCCAAAAATATTTCTGAATTTCAGAAATAGGTCTGTTTATTTATACTGATAGCAAAATAAAAGGTACCGAATAAGAATTTTACAAGAGTTTTAATGAAAATTCTCGTTTGAGTAAGATACTAGTTTCAGATAGTGTGGTACAGCTGCTCATGCAGGGATTTTGGGGAGGAGCGTTAGATATCAGCTGCCTTCTTTTAAAACACTTGATGCTAGCCACTCTAAAAACAAAAGTCAGAAATATATTGATCTCAGCTGTTACGTGGCTTGATGGTTGTTCCTCAACAGCTTGCTATTAGTTCTTTTGGCTGATTGTCAGTATTTCTTACATAAAGCTGAACATACTGTCAGAAATTTGATATTGTGGGTTTGGAATAGGTTGAAAACTGTAATTACTCAGGAATTAAATTGATTTGGCCGTCATTGTTAAATTATGTAATGCTTCTGCTTTTTGTCTGGCATTTATGTTGTTGTTTTGTAAAGGAGCTATTTAGTGCAACACAGATAAACTAATTTGACTATTATTGCTCCTGCTTTTTCTTCAGTTGCAAATCAGCTAAGGTAATAAAATAAGCTTCATTGAAAACATGAACCATAATGGCTGAAATTATTTTCTTATGTGTTCTTTTTGTTACACACAAAACCAAGTATATATGGCCAAATTTAATTTTTTTTTTCTTTTTTCCTTAGTGATCTTAGTGAAAATCAAATTCAAGCAATACCAAGGAAGGCATTCCGGGGAGCAGTAGACATAAAAAATCTGTAAGTATTTTCCTCCTTGTATATATTCTGATGATAAAGCTTTGTCAGTACGTTGTTCTTTTGCTACATCCGATATCTTTTTCCTAAGCACTTTGATAGCTGCTTAAGGAATGTCTGTAGAAAACCAACGCTTACCATTTGTTTTGGCAAAATTCTTTACCATATCTTAAGTATCCTAAAATTGCCCTATAAGAAATCTAAAACATCAAAATGGACTTGAATACAGCAAGGCATTATAACTATGTGTTTATGGTGATCTGAGTTTTATATTTGAATGTCAGCTACTTAAAACATTTCACTGTGTCATGTGGGAAAAAAATCATTTTGCCTTGATTCTAAGAGTTTCCCTTTTGTCTGCTTGTACAAAAGAAAGAAAGAAGGAAAGAAAGCAAAATCAATTCATCACTTGGTTTTGCTAGCATACATCCTTGTGTGACTGCTCTGCTCACACAGTTCTCTTCGGTGGTAAAATAAGTCTTTTCTAAAACAGATACTCACTATCCTGGAGATAGTAACTCTGAAATTCATAGGCAGGTTTTTGAATTTTTAGGGCTTCTGAATGTGATGGTGTGTGAGTTTCAAGACAAAGGAAAGCGTGACTTTTCCACTTTTTGTTTAGAGCAGTAGATCAGCTTAGTGGACTGAAAGAGCTGAATGACCTGAAAACTGCAATGAATATGTATAGTAGGAAATGTAAGGTCATGCACTTAAAAGCTATAACCCCTGCTGTAAGCTGGGGGACTCATCATTTCTGAACAACCACCAAAGGCAGAGAACATTTGCTAGTGAGTTCCAGAAAGA